TCGGAACAGCAAACACAGGATTTTTAAGAATAATTACAGAGATTCTCCTACCTGATAACTGCAAAGAGGGAGTACATATATTTGGTAAACATCCATGGTGACGGTTGGTGACCTGATGTGCCGTGGCTGGTGGGTCAGCACGGCCTGGTCCACGGGCGGGAGACTTTACTTGGTCGAACGGGTTGCCGAGATCGATCGACCGTAGGTCGGGATGCTGGCGTCGAGATGTTGGTTGGTGTCTCTCGGTCGGGACGGTCGCATCTTTGGGGGTGATCGCTCTCCTGCACAGAAGGCTCTCATCGGGTGGTTACCGACTTTAGCCCCTCAACGAGTAAGTTAGTGCTTGGTTCTTTTTGTTTTGACTCTCCCTGACCAGATACCAGCCAATGATTTTTATACTACTGTACGAGGGTCGGTCGTATGCGGGTTTGGGCTGACGACCGATCCTCGAGAGGAGAAGAGGTACCTTTGTGCGGTCGCTATCCCGAGCTTTCCAGGACGGGATGTACCGAGGAATGCCTTGGTATGGATCCTAGCTCAGTGCGTGGGAGTACTCCTCTTGGCGGTGGCATGGTGCGGCGTTGATTGTGACATGGCTAGGGGCCCAAAATATACCATGTCAGTAACAAGCCACAGTCTCTGTTTATATGGAGTTTGCTACATAAATTGTTTCCCCTGCTTCTTTGTTTACTGAAAGCATGTTAATGGTAATATAAATGTCATTGTATTTCTTGTTATTATTGGTATTGGCATTCTTCTTTAGTCTTCTTCCATACATTGAGAACACCATGATCATATAAATAATTAAAATTAATGAGAAGTCATTATATCTTCTTTATTTTGCCTCTATATATACTGATAAGGTATATTTTGGGTCCTGATCACGTCACGACCAACGTCGTGACATGCCATTGCTAGGTCAGTAAGAGGAGTACTCCCGCACACCAAGATCCGTATCAAGGCATTCCTTGATACATCTAGTCCTGAAAATCCTACCACGCCAAACCCACGTATGGTCAACCCTCATGCAATAGTATAAAAACCCCTAACCGACATCTGGCCAGGGGAGGTGAAAACAAAAGAGAACCAAGTGCTAACTTACTCGTTGAGGGGCCAAAGTCGGTAACCACTCGACGAGGGCCTTCAGTGCAGGAGAGCGGTCACCCCCCGAGGCGTGACCATCTCGATCGAGAGGCGCCTTCCTCCACATGGATCTGACATCCCAACCTACGATCGATCAACCTCGACGACCCGTTCGACCGATCATTGACTCCTGATATTGACCCGTGGACCAGGACAAATTAATTGATCAGCCACGATGAATCAATTCACCAACATGTACTATGTTGTTCGATTTCTTTTCGGCTGAACAATTGTGATGGCACAGTTGCATGTTGAATTCCTTGTGCAGAACAAAAATAGTCATTTGCAGGACTACATTACTTCTGTTGGAGTCTTGTCAGACAAAAACTTCAAACCAAATAACACTGATGTAGCGGATTGGTAAATAAATTTCAGTTCCTTGTTATTTTCTGCTGGATTACCTGATTGCAAGTTAACTCAAATTCCTTCCTTCTTCAACAGTAGAAAAGTTTACATGATCATTCGATTTTGATGTTGTTTCAGGTGTCTCTTAGGGAATATGGCTGGAGAAAGGCAAAATACGAATCCACTTCAGGTGCTATTTGTTTGGAATCAAAATGCGCAGTTGCTGCAGTGGGTACATATCTTGAAACTTTGAATGAGATGAAGCATTCCATCATCAATCTGCTGCTTTTCGCTAGATTGAGATTGGAGTTACTCTATTCTGGAGCAACTACTCTATTCGGTCATCCATCAGCGCATACATATCGATATAGCACCTTTCTTTTCTTCTTACTTAGGGATAAAAAACAGAGCTTTCTTTTGTTTTGCAGGTTGTAACCATGAATTCTGCACCACTTGTGCATTGTATCTTCTGTTCAACCAACAACACCTCGACCTCAACAGCACCTCCAGGATCAGTGGCATGTCCTCTCTGCCGACATGCCAGTCACTTATTCATCAAGCTTCCTGATACAACAAGCCCGGTGAAAGACATGGTGAAAGTGAGTCTGCCCACACCTCTGTGTTCACTACAGCCTCGATACCGAGCTTAAAACCTGCCACCTCGAAGGCCAAGCACACAACCAAGTCCTACTTCCAGAACAAGCGAATCAAGCAAAATTCTTCTTGCATGCCTTGCATAAGAGCTTATCTTTGATTATATTTGGGTGTGGGTTGTTGGGCTGATGGCTCATATTCAGCCCATGTGGGTTTTATCAGCCCACAGCCCACAGCCCACACCCCCTCTTAACCTAACCCTAATTAAGATTAGGGAGTGTGATGGCTGCATTTTAGAGGCATATTAAGGCTATAGCAACGAGACAGATCTTGTGGCCACAGGGACAATGCAAAGAGACTGTTCTCAATCATCTAGCAGTGTTCTAATCTCAGGTTAGATCAAATCTACAGTAGACTCTTGCTGTGATTACTTGGGGAGGTTTTAGATATTATGGGCAGCGACGTGATCCATGTATCACAGTTATTCTCTTGTGGTTGTTGCTAAGGTTTTGGGCAAGAGATTGAGATTTGTATATTCATTATTCTCATAGTGGATTATCTCTAGTTTGCCCTGTGGTTTTTACCCTTCACATTGAAGGGGTTTTCTACGTATATCTTGGTATTCTGTTTGATTGTGTTTCTATTTTATTCCGCTGCGTATTATGGTCTTCTAGTATTTGTTCATATACAAAGGTTATTTCTCTTTATATCCCCATCACACCTCTGTGTTCACTACAGCCTCGATACCGAGCTTAAAACCTGCCACCTCGAAGGCCAAGCACACAACCAAGTCCGACTTCTAGAACAAGCGAATCAAGCAAAATTCTTCTTGCATGCCTTGCATAAGAGCTTATCTTGATTATATCGAGCTTAGATGTTCTTTTTTCAGCTATCTTGATTTCTGTATCCAGTATTTGTTGCCGATAATATTGGCCTTTCAGATGTGATTTGTTAGCATTCTTGTAAACAGATTATAAGACCATTAGTAAAGCTGTTAAGATGTAAACATAAGATGTGAGAAACTGTTGTGTGTAGTGCAGAATTATTGTACCAAAAAAGCTATTCTAGTTACCAGGAAAATGTAATTCTGAAATAATTATTTCCTTCATATCCGGTCAAGAAGTACTTCCATGGTGTATCAGTTGTTGATGATTACTGGTTGACAACATGTCTTAGCAGCTCTTTCACTACTCTTGAATAGTAAAATAGGTGCTATTAAACCAAACAAGTAATACTGTATCGTACCGGTGTTTCGAGGTTGACTCGGTACGGTACCGACATACCGAGCGGTATACCAGGACGTACCGAGCGATACATAAGGGTGCTCCGAACAGTTTTATATTTTTTCTTTCTTAATGTACTATTGCTATAGTGTAGTACTGTAACACTACTATAGTGTAATACTGTAGCACTGTATCCGAGTGGTCCGCGTATTGATGTGTCGTTGAACCGGTACATACCGGGCGGTACCATTCGGTATTGCATACCATAAAACCAAATATAATAAAATAAATAGTAACATGATAAAGAAAATTTTATTTAAAATAATAGGTGGAAGTAAAGATGAAAATTAGTGTTGACAAGAAAAATATATTGTAAAAATAATACTATATTAAAAATCGTTTTCAGGAATGTATATAATAGAAAAACATGGAAAAAGTAACTTCCGTTGCCGGGACTCGAACCCGGGTCTCTCGGGTGAGAGCCGAGTATCCTAACCAACTAGACTACAACGGATTGCTTGATTAGGCCATAATTCATAAAAACACAAATTCAGATATGACAACTCAAATATACCCCGCGACGCCAGTAGTAAACGTTGCTTCGAGTCAATGGAGACGTTTTGAGCGACGAGCTCCGCCTCCGCCGGCTTCGCGCCCAAGGCCTGGCCGACTGCTGCCGTCCTCACAATTTGTGGCCTGGGACGAACCGTCGACTACATGTTGAGCAAAGGAAGTCGGGACGCGGTTCCTCTTGCCGACATCTCTCGTGACTTGGATGTTGCTCTGAAGGTGTTTGGTACAGTGCCCGAGAGAGAAATGCGTCTCTTGGACGGCTACACAAGCAGCTGATCGAACTCTCTCGGGGCGGGGGCCATTTGTTTCGATCCAGGTAATTGATTCATCAACTTTAGTCAACTTAAATTCTTCGATTCGATTGACTTTTTACACGTGCGTGTCGAGACTCAAGTGTATGGTAGGAACGAAGAATACCTCTGAAGCAGCTGAATCCAGGAAACAAATGGAACTTTGTTGTGCATTGGTGAGGCCTCATAAACAATCAATTAGAAAGATGGCTTTTCCAGTTCAGAAAGGTCAGTTCGATGCATACATATCTCTTCAGTTTAGCCTTCTTGGGTGTTGGAGGGCCGCCGTATTCAATGGGAAAGTTGGTGAGCAACGTCGACATTTGGCCCATTTCATCATAGGACAAACATTAATGGCTATTTGACTTGTGCCAAGTTAGATGCTGCTGTGGTTACTACTACTGATATGTGTTTTATGTCTTTCAATATGAGGCTTTTATAATTAATCTTTAAGATTTTGTTGTTCTTCCCCAATTCTTTTTCTTGTTCTACCAAATGTCTCTGATTATTTGCAAGCTGGAAATACGTACAAGTGTAATTATTTGGATGGTTGTAGGTATAATGACTGCTTATTATTATAAGTAAGTTAGGTTGATTGAATCACCCCTGAAATTTACGGAGGCGATGTGAAGCCACATATCGCCCCGATAAGCCTGCAATGTAGGCGGGTTGAGTCAACCCGAACTGTCTATGTTGGACCCAATTTTGGTGAGGGGTGACGTCGCCCTGACAAATTTCATGGGTGATCCAGTGCCCTTTCATTTTACTTAAAGCAATCCTTTTTCTGGATTTATTATTAATATTATAAATACTAATATTATTATCGTTATCTCTGTGATGGTTGGACTCCACAGTCCAGCCGAAAGCGCGTTTGGGCGTCTCGCTCACGCGTCCACCACAACCCACCCCTCCTAGCTCGCAATATTTGTCGTTTTAGATCGGCAACCAGTCACAGTCGTGCTGCGTCACTCAATCTGTCTCTGTCTCTCTCTCTCTCTCTCGTTCCTCTTCTTGGCCTCTGAGGCGGATCGCATATTGCCCGCTAACCCCTCGTTGGATTTCTGATCGTTTCTTCGTTGGTCGCACCGGCACGTAAGAATCCCCAATACTTCGGCACCGAGGGTTCTTTGATTTCTTAGATCTATCTTCTGAATCCGCTATGGTTCCTCCTTTTCTTGATAGATCTCACTCTTTAGGGCTGATCGCTTGGGTTTGACTTTCTTTTGCTTGTATATTTTGGTCTTTGATTCTTTTCTTGTCGTATGGTTTTCGGTTCTGATGATATTATCTAATCCGTGTGAGATCTGAGGAATGACGGACGTGATCCAGCAGATGCATAATGTACTATTTTTGCTTTAGTTGTTTTCTTTTGGTTCGTTTTTATGATCCTGTTTTTTTGGGCTCATAATCAATCGTCTCTGTGATATTTTTGGAGTTTAAGTAGTCGAATCGAAGGAATTTTTTGGGACGAACTCCTTGTTCTTTGTGATATTACATTTCGTTGTTGAACTATCTTATTTAAACTTCAGATTGATCTATATGTCTTGATGAGTGAGCGCTAGCGTTCTATGGACTTATACCTATCATCTGCAATGATCTCTTGTGGGCATACCGTCAAATTCCATCTTGCAATTTCGCCTTTTTTTGTAGAAACTTTAGAACCTCCGTGTCTTAATCTTATGGATCTTTTCTTGGGTTGAAAGATTAGAAATTGTTCTTTGAACGTACGGTGTGGTTTATCTCATTTATGGTTGTCTTTTTATCCTTCTAAGCATTTAAATATGATCACTTCTTTACAGAAAAGAAAAAGACTTTTGTACTTTCCGTTTACAAATTGGTCCACCAATCAATATTATCCTTAACAACCCTTACAACAATGTGAAAGGATGTACCGTAAACAGTTTGATAAAAAACATGTAATACCAAGGCACCTGTAGGAGTCTTTTTGAGTTAGATAATGTTTGCTGGAAGTGTATGTATTACGAGGGAGAGAACAACATATTTCATTGGTTGGACCAGATGCATGCTAGTTAGGATTGAGTTAGGTCTTGTACATGAAGAAATTCTGGAATTTGTTGGTCTTCTGCTTTGTGAAAATAGGTTTGAGTTATATAGTTGGTGGCAGAACCGAGGATATACTTCTAGGCTGTTAATCATGTTCCATCTATCAGTGTTGCCATGAAATTTAGGTAATTTAGACTTTAAATGTATGGTAAATGGACTGATCCCAATTATATAGCCAAGTTCTCACTAGTCACTATTTGGTGACATTGAAGGGTATAGATATTAGGAACGAGTTTCTAGGCAGTTTCTTCTTTGCAAATTGTAATTTCGTTTTCTATCTTCACTTATTCAGTGTTACCTTGGAATGGTGCTATTTATTAATGATTTTTAGTTTAATCTTGTCATAACCCTTTTGATGTCTTGGTCACGCACTTTCCCTGTTGGCTGTTATATTTCCTCATTCATTTTTATTTTTCTTTTCTCTGTGAAGAAGTCCCTTGCAAGCTTCTCTCAACTCTAATATATACTATGACTACTTTTACTAAAGCCGCTTGTCATTCACTCATGAAAGTTGCTGTTTTTTATTTATTTTTATTTTTTTCTGTATAAATGTGACTTGCAAACATATACTACCTTCTTTTGCTAAAGTTGCTTGTCTTTCACTCATGTAAGTTGCTTTATTCCTTTTCTTTTCATGCTCAACTTCTGTTTCTCAGTCTTATTTATTTTGAAGGGAAACAATGTCTTACTTTCTATAAGAAATTGCATTTTTTTTTTCTTCTTCTAGAAAATTTTCAATCACACTCAGTATTCTTAAGATTGCAATATCGATGAATTTCTTACCACTAAAGGTTTTTGAAGCAAAGTTTGATTCAAGATGGGTCTCACACATGGAACTTTGAAGCAACTGTGTAGGTTTGATCCAAGATTCTATTAGTAGCTAGGTTCCCATTAGTTTCCTAGACATGGGAAGAGTTGAAGCAAATTTGTAGGTGTCTATCAATTTGTTGTGGTTAAAGTTGAACAAACTGAAGAGTTGATAATAGCCATGTTCTTATTTTGTTTTACTCTGAGAAAATATTTTTAATTATGATTCAAAATCCATGTAATGCATTTTAAAAAATAAATTCTTCATCGACCATTTTATATCAATTCTGATAAAAGTACATTGTGGTCTTGCTTATGTTCTGAAAGCTTCAGCTTGATTCAGCTGTCATCTTTTTGTACAATAAAGACCCTGAGTTCTTTGAAGAATCTTGAAAGAGAAAGATATCCATGTTAATTCTCAAGTTATAAGAAGATCCATCAAAGGAAAAGAGTTCTATGAGAACATTGCTGCAGCTCTGCTTATATACAAGTTTGTTAAACATTATCATGTTTTTATGAAAGACCTAAGAAGTTTGAGCATAATAAGTGGTTCAGATTCCTCATAAGCTGATTATGACTTTTTCATTATGGTAGAACAACTATGGAGAGATGAATAGTCTATAAATTTTATTTGCGGCCATTGTACCTAAGTTCATCAAGTTAGTAGTCAATTTGCATATGACAAGCATGAACTATTTCTAAATTTGAAAGAAAAAGCTCGTTAGTTGCAATCATACCTAGATGTTTTGTCATATAATTCCACAGGCAATGCCTAGAATGTTCTGATGAAATCCTTCTTTTCTGATAGTTGGAGAGCATCAGGTTTAAACACTGTCAAAATATACTAATGCGAATTACATACACACACACACATTGTAGTTCCTTGTAAGTACTGATGCCATGGCTGGATATTTTTCATGTTTTATATATCTGTATTGACTCCCTATCATGACTTATTAGTGACTACCTTCTTTCTCTGATGCAGGACTTCAGGCAGCTTAGACCTTCTTGACAGATGGTTCTTGATTCACTATCATCTCCTCATAGGAGATCACAGAACACAGTTTTCCTGGCATCCCCGTCCAAGAAGCAGCAGTCGGGCTTCAATGAGCCTGGTAGTTGGTCCACTATTTATGAGCGGCACAGGTTTCTCTTGATGATGCTAGCTCTATTGGCATTCCTATGCACCATCTATTTGTACTTTGCAGTTACTTTGGGAGCCACAGGTTCATGCTCAGGAATGTCAGGAGCTGAGAAAGCACTTTGCCAGGCCAAATCTTCATTGCACAAGGGGAAATTGAAATTCTTTTGACCAGCAAGTGGTCTCGAGCATCTAGAAAAGCAATGCCTCTGGGATTAATGATCAATTCATGACAATTCATAAACACTATATGATATGGGGGCATTGCATGTTTGGTTTCCTGCAGCAAATTATACGATTTGTGGGTTGTGGGTTGTGGTTTACGGATGATAAATGTGTATTTGATTTGATGTGTTACCTGTTATAAGGGTGTACTTGATTTTTTGAACATGTAATCCTTAGATGATTACTGTCTTAGTTTCTGTTTCTCTGTTCATTAGAAATTTACAGTCTTCAGTCATTAGTTGAAGATCATTGTTAACATTGCCCCATCATTCATATCAGTACAATATTGTTTACAAGACATCGGTTGTCAACTTTAGAAAGGGAATTGATGTCTGGATTGTGCAGCATTGACACATTGCTTTTGTTGTTTTGAATCCATGACAACCTTCGTGGTATTCTGTTGTCACCAGAGTAATGACCTTATGAGCAGCTCATGGTGTGCTCTGATTCTGATATGCTGGAGTACCTGTCAATGCATCAGCATTCCCATATCATTTCTTATAATCACATAAATATTAAGATGCTATGATGATGGCATCTTCATGTGTTCTTTGACATCTTGAAACTATATGTATATATATATACTTAGAAAATAAAAATATTCATCTAATTGTAGCTGAGTTAGCATTTATATCTCATATTTATGAAAATAAAAATATATTGTTATAGGAAATTATAATCATAAGCAACACGATCTGATCCTTACGAGTCTCATTGCTAATAATAGTAATTTTTAATGTCAAGAATAATCCTAATATTTTATAAAATTATTAATTTTATGAATCACACGATAAATGATTGTGTATCAATTATTACGAAGTATTAAATGGTATAATGTGCATAAAATTTAAATTGAATAGCCCCCCGATTTATTGTTGTTTTTTAATAAAGGATGATTTCTATACCTCTTTTCGAAAATAACGCCTTCTTTTTTTTTGTTTTAGGAGAAAAAACGTATTTTTATGTAGACACGCAATTGATGGGATGAACCCCCCGTTATCGATCGCCTCCAAGGCTACTTGGACAGCCCATTTCCTTACAAACCCAGTCGCGCTCCCTCCACGTGTCCGGACACGTCTGGTACATTCTTCACCTACCTTTCTTTCTACTTTCTCGCGTCCGTGCTTTTCCACCCCTCGCCCTCTCCGCACCCGAGTCCATTTCACGGACGAAGGGAGGGAGCGAGAGAGAGCCAAGCGATTGGTTCGGATCTCGGACGATCGAAGAGACGAGGCGATGGAGGCGTCCGTACCGGAACCGAGGAGGCGTCGGATGGGGAGGCGCAACGCCGAGTCGCCGGCTCCAGCGGAGGGGAAGCGGCCCGGAGCCCGTGGCCGCCCCTCTCTCGTGCGGTACGACGAGCTGCCGGATTACCTCAAGGACAACGAGTTCATCCTGGACCACTACCGCTCCGAGTGGCCGATCCGCGATGCCCTCCTCAGCGCCTTCGCCTGGCACAACGAGACGCTCAACGTGTGGACGTAAGTACCGCCGTATATCAGAACGACCCCTCGCCACGCCGTCATAAGGCCAATGACCCCCTTTTTCCCTTTCTCCTCGCCAGGCATTTGGGCGGCTTCCTCCTCTTCCTCGCCATAACGGTGGCGGGGTCGATGGAGGCGATCGAGGAGGTCACCAGCGCGGTAGTTCCGGGGCTCCCCGCGTGGGTATTTTCGTAATTCCATTTTCATCCCCTTTTTTCCCCTCGGAATGTATATTAATAATAATAAAAAACGTCTTTGCAGTTGGATGGTTCGATCGTGGAACGCGTCGGGGAATATTCTGTCAGTAAGTAATTCAAATTCATTCAAAATGAAATTTCATTTCTCGGTCGTCTCGTTTTCGAATTTTAAATGCCGTCTAAGATCTTAGAATCACCTCGTACAAAAGCAAAGTACGCTTTCCGAGTACTCACCCTATCGTAGTGCCTTGGTTTGGTTGGAATTTAGCTGGATAGGTGATGGGGTGTGGGATAAGCCAACTGACCGACCACGCTGCAGAATCTACAGATAAGCAACTTTAAATATATAGATGATTAAGGTGATTAAATTGGATGTGTCTGATGTGGCTTATTGAAATGGACCTTCATCGCATAAGGCAGGCAATGTGACCCAATGCGAAGGAAATACTATTTAATGAAATTTAAGTACCTTCTTTGTTTATGTAGTATAGTGGAGAGCAGATTCATGCTGTGTGCAGTAAGATACCCTGAGTTTTACCCTGTTTCGGCCTATCTTTTTGTGCCCCGACCATAGGTGGAGTCATGCACGTTGGCTGTTTATGGGCGGGCCCCCGCACGTCCCATTTTAGTGATGTTGCTTAGCTGTCTTACCAGAGGCAGGAAACAGGATGCTTCACCACAACGGGCTCTCCACACCATCTGGGGGAAGGGCGTGAGCTAAAATTTGGAATTTGTTTGCTTGCACAAGATTATGATGTCACGTGCATTGAGGACTAATATGAACGGCTTTGATCTTACTCATCAGGAATCTTCCGCGACGCTATCATCATGGAACAGATCAACCTCCTCCGGTGACGTCGTGGTGCCGAGATGGCCGACGCTTGTCTTCTTGCTCGGCTCCATGGGCTGCCTCTCCATCAGCGCCGTCTCCCACCTCCTCGCCTGCCACTCTCGCCGCCTCAACCTCTTCTTCTGGCGGCTCGACTACGCCGGCATCTCGCTCATGATCGTCACCTCCTTCGTCCCGCCCATCTACTACGTCTTCCTCTGCCACCCCGCCGCCCGCATCGCCTACCTCTCCATCATCGCCACCCTCGGCTTCCTCGCCATCTTCACGTTGCTCGCCCCCGCCCTCTGCGCCCCCCGCTTCCGCGCCTTCCGCGCCGCCCTATTCCTCGCCATGGGCTTCTCGGGGGTCGTACCCGCCGTGCACGCCTTGTGGCTGCACTGGGAGCATCGGGAGGCCCACGTCGTGCTGGGGCTGGAGCTAGCCATGGCCATCGCCTACGCCTCGGGGGCTGGCGTGTACGTGAGCAGGATTCCCGAGAGGTGGTGGCCGGGGGAGTTCGATCTCGTCGGACACAGCCATCAGATCTTCCACGTTCTGGTGCTCGTCGGGGCGATCACTCACTATGCCGCCACCACGGTGCTGCTCGACTGGCGGGACCGGTCGATGACCTCCTGCAGCGCCTTCTATGCTGAAAGCGTTGCCTCGTGATTTGCGTGATCCATCGAAACGCTGTTTCGATGATGGGTGATCGGCGGTACCTTGTCAGAGTTGTGGCTGTCGTGATCTAATTCGTTGACAGCTGTACTTGCCTGATGCACTCTCACGCTTTCGGACGTGCTAATAATTTACCTTTCATGCTGTTAGTTGTGGTTCGGAATGTATTTGAATTTTTAATATGTATTTAAAGAAAATAATTTGAATGAACGTATAGTCATGAAATATTTTAAATATAAGCATTGTTTGATAAAATTATATTTTAAAAGTTTATAAAATATTATATAATAAATTTATCCTTTTAATATTTGCAATATTTATTCAAAAAATAAATACATATATATTTTTTAATTAATAAAATAAATAAATGTAATATTACAAAAAATTTCGTATGACCTCTCCTCTCTCTCTCTCTCTCTCTCTCTCTCTCTATATATATATATATATATATATATATATATATATATATATATATAATGTTACCTTCTAGATAATATAAATCTTGTTGATAATATTATAATATCATAGGGTATCTTAAATTAAAAATATATATATTAACATCCCACAAATGTTGAAATGATAATGTTATCTTGAGGTGGCATAAATATTTGAACATTTGCATAATATTTAGGCCAAATGTGATTTTAAAAATTATTTATCAAATATTAATTGTAACGTAGAGTTATTTAAATTTCTTGTTGACCGTTGGAAAATGGTCACGCACGAAATTCCTTCTTACACACAGCATAGCAATGTAATTGACTCACATTTCATCATATTGGAATTTCATTAATCTCATTCAAGTAATTAATAATAACATCAATAAATATCTTAAAATTTATTAATAAAAAAAAAAAGGTGTCAATCCTACTACAATCTTTTATTTGGTTTGAATTTTAGCTGAGTTGGTCCTATCGACTTAAACTGAATCAAATTTTAGATAGTACCAAACTAAATTGATATCAAATTTATATGAAAATTGGTGAGGAATCATCCTAAATGACCTATTTGGATATGAATTATTTCAATTGGGGATAAATACGCTTGAACTGATCATTCGACCATTGTGTGCGTCATCACTCGGCCATAAAAGGCCACGAGGGTGGTCGCAAGAGGGTCACAATCATTAGGCTCCAATAAACCATAGGCTAAGCCCCGTATTAGGGTTGCAAAAAGGCTCAAAGGCGATGCTCAACATGAATTAATTTGTAAGAGAAGCCATGTAGAGTTATTGAGCATTACTCGGATACAAAGAGCAGCTATGACATGTGTTGATTGCATGAGGTGTTAGATAAACACATCAAGCTGATTAAGTGTTTTGGTTGGTGATAACATGACATTTGATCATCCACATGTCATATTCTTCCTGTCATCTATCCCCTCTTCATGTGGTTTTGTTAGAAGGAGAATGTTAGGACATAATATCTTTATGTTAGAATTGGTCATAATCACTTTTGTCTAATCACATTTCATAATTTTTTCTTGGCATTATTTTGACTTGAGAGGATTAGTAGATGCTTTATGTTAGAATTGGTCATAACAAAATGTAGAAAATATTTTATCACCAAGTTTGATCATCATATTAAGATACGCAAAACTCTTTAGGGCCGAGTTTGATTACGTCAATAGATTATTGACGATAATTATTTTAGATCAAATTCTAAATATATTATGAAATAATTCTTATTTTATGACTAAATATAATCATGTTAGGAAATGATTTGTTCTTTAACTTATCAAGAACTTTCATATTGCATATTAGTCAAATCATCTAGCCTAAAGGGGATTGCTATAATGTTCGGTCTTCTTTGATTGATCAATATGCACCAAGTCAACTATCAATAAAATCACTGGGGTACATAAAGAGTCAAATGATGGAAACCAAATGATACTTGATTGATTGATTCATACTAAAGTGGGTCTTAAGCCTTTGGCCATTTCTCACATGCATTTAAACTTTGAATATAAGATCTATTGACCTCCAGCTTTAATAAGGGCTATACATAATGATTCCTTTTAATTTTTTAATCTTGTAGGCCACCAAAAGTTTGCTAATACCAATAAAATTAGCTTACCTAAAATTTTCAAGTGCTATCCAACTCGATCATCATCATTGAGATAAGTGAGCTTCAACTTACTGAAGTTAGGTCGAGAACGAGATAAGTGAGCTTCAATATGATAACTAGGTAGAGTAATTTATTATCTCATGCCTACAAAAGACCCTCTAATGTTGAGTTTGAGTTTTCAAGTAGAGTATCGCTTTCATTGTAGACTATATAATGATAAGGGGGATCATGCAACTCATGTTGTCCAAATGGATGAGCACGATGATAATTAAGGCTCATAAGAATTTAGTACCACGAGGCCCAATATTTATAGTATCAATTTTTTATCCTTTTGATCATGTTTAATTGGCAACGAGTTGAGAATGAATGATAAGAGAAGAGGATGATGGATGGACACACCCTCCACATCCAATCCGAGAATATTACCTCACTCGTCGAGTCAAGAAATTATTATATTAACTACAATATGAAGAATCACTTTAGTCGTAACACAAAGCTAAAAGGTATATATTAAGAGTTTATATGATTCTAAAAGGACCATATACTCGTAATCTCTAAACATTCGAACGATTAATATCATAAAGATGTATTAGTATCATACAAAATAACAATAGTTTTGATGAGTATAAATGAGAGTCATGAACTTATCAAAGTTGAGACAAGATAAAATCGAATACTTAATCGAATACTTAAGAAAGATGCCGAAAGAGAAAAAGGAGGTTAAGACAACATCATGTGGTGAGCAAAGAAAGACATTACTCATAAAAATTAATTCATGAGAATAATTATATAAAATTATAAAAAAATGGCTGCACCGTCATGCATTACATTTAATTTAATGCCATCGTATCCTAAAGGAGGAAACCAATCATTAAAATTTGAACATTAATAAATAATTGATTAATTAATCTTATCCGTAGCATATCCAACCACACGAATAAGGAAATAGATATCCACTGCGTATCCATTTCCTACTTAGTCTTACCCAACAAGGAAATGATTAGCCTATATTGGTAAATCTTATATTTACAAAAAAAAAAAAATCATTGTTTAGAAAAAAGAAAGGTTCGATCGCTACAAACATTCCCTAATTCATATGATTCTATTTCATACGAAAAGTAACACTGATCAAGTCAAAGAAAAATAAATGCCACCGTACAAATCTATCAGTTATCCATTTCCATGCTCTCTACCCTTATCCTATTTTATCCAAGTATAACGGAGACCGGGAGAAACCAAAATGGGATCCACCGCACACGTGTACCGAAGTTGACCACATCCGCCAAATCGTACGGCGGTCCAAAAAGGCGGAGGAGGGATGATCCTCTAAAAATCTGACGTGGCTACTGTCGAAGGGTGAACCCCGCAGACGCGATCAATCTCTTACATCCTTCGGATGGGACCCACACTTCGTGTCAGGGGTGCGTTTCTGAGTAAACCAGGGGGAGTGTCCCGTACGAGAGATAAAGGACGACGGACGAGGACGCGTTGTCGTCCCGTCTCTCCGTATATTAAGACCGGTAGCGACGCATTCCTCGTATCGCTTCCAGTTGTTGCGGAGAGGAAAGAAAGACGCTCTTGAGAACTTTTGCGTGAGATAATGGCGTCGATGGGTGCGCCGTCGGGGGTTGGTTTTTGCGCCGGTAAGAGGCCGGTGTTGAAGACGAAGAGGAGTGGCGGCAACGTGAGGTGTGCCGCCACCAAGAATCTGATGGAACAGTACCGAACGCTGAAGATCCAACCCGGGGCGTCGGAGCAGGAGGTGAAGAAGGCCTTCAGGCGCCTCGCTCTTCAGGTGCCTCCTTTCTCTCCTTAGAAATTTCGTTTACCCCTTCGATTGCTGTGATCCGATTGGCCAAAGTCGTGCCTTTTCTTCGGCTTATTCGGAAAACAGAGGAATTTGGATGATGCTACTTATGAAATTTGTTTGAAAAGAGGGGTTTTGATTCGATCGATAGGTTTTGGGAACATTTATGCGTTCGTATTTCCAGAATTATCATCAGTTAATAATCTAATCTATCTGTGTTTTGATGTTTGAATTCTAATGTCGCTAATCGAAGGAAGGTGAGCTTCTTAATGCAGTACCATCCAGACGTCTGCAAAGGTGGCAATTCCAGTGTAGAGTTCCATCAGATTAATGAAGCATATCATGTAAGTCATCACTGTTTGGTAGAACAGTTTGATGCCAATCCGGATTTAGTAACCATTAGTTTCCAGTATCGACTGGATCTTCGTAAGAAAAAGGTGGATTTTTTATGGACATTTTTGTCATGGATCGTATCAGATGGTGATGAACAGCTTTAGACGATCCAAGGAGCAGGACTGGAGTGACGACGTCGGCGCCGATGAGTTGACGACGGAAATGTATGACCCAAACCGGGATTTGTGGGAGGAATGGATGGGGTGGGAAGGGGCGAGCACCACCGGAGACTACTCTTCCCACATCAACCCTTACATATGAACAACCTCTCTCTCCCTCCTTTGATTCTTGTGATTTTACTCTTCGTTTGTAGAAATCGTGTACATAATCTCTTCCCGACCTTTCAACTGCGTTGGATGTCTCTGCACATTATGACTTGGATTAATCAAATTACATTTGTTTGCAATCGGGTTATATCAAATGACTTTTCTACAAATTATTTATTCCATGATCTATGCTTACAACATTCTAATTACGCATATATGATTGTAATATGCTTTTATTTGAGGGATGTGAAAATGTTAAGATAATGTGTTTTGCTATTTGGAAAGGTGAAAAAGTTTTTTATTTTATTTTTTAAAAGGTAAGTATGATGATCAGTCAAAATTTTCACATCGGTAAATCTTCGAAAAAAAATATTTTCAATTGTAAATTAGTTTGGTAGGAATAAAATGAAAAGAATTTTTATATATTTAGTGTAAGTGTTATTTAGAGATAAATAAAAAAAAAATGATCAATTTTGATCAATTCGATATCACAAAATTAATTCGAGACTCTTTTTGCAAGTGTTGCTTGACGAGGGAAGAAAGAAAGAATTTTTTAGAGGATGTGATTCAAAATTTATAATTAGAAGAGGAAAAAATACACGTGATGATGGAATAATTAGTATTAGTGTTGTATGGAAATCACAACTAATTAGTATTAGTGTCATACGGACATCACAA